GTGGATCTGATTTAAAAAATGGTATGATTTAGATTCATTCACACCAGATGGCTGGTTGTGCATTGGCTGTCTTTTTTTATTTATCTGTAAGGGAAAAAAGGTCAGTGCCTGACTAAATAGCCGCAGTACACCAGTTGAAAATTGCTGCATTACATCACCTGACTTTAGTATTGCTTGTCAACATCTAGACCACAGACATGATTTGGCTTTTGGATTTTCTTTTTAAATTCTTGTTCGGTGTTTAAAGGATGGTATTTCTCTTAAATTAATCTGACAGCAGGGGCCTACATTTGGCTTCAACCCATTAGCGCTACTCCCTTTAGACAGGATATACCAGGTGTGGGCAAACTTTTTGACTCGAGGGCCACAATGGGTTCTTAAACTGGACCTGAGGGCCGGAACAAAAGCATGGATGGAGTGTTTGTGTGAATATAAATTCAAAGTAAACATCATTACATAAAAGGGTACGGTCTTTTTTTTTTTTTTTTAAGTTTTATTCATTTCAAACGGGCCAGATCCGGCCCGCGGGCCGTAGTTTGCCCACGGCTGGGCTATACCCTCTGGTTCCCCATTAACCTGTACTCATCGGCCTAGCCCTGTGATCCTGTGGGTGTGTAATCCTTGCAGAAGATATTTTCAAACAATTATCACATTTCAATTTTTAAAAAAATATATTTTATTGATTTTTTACAAAGGGAGAGGGATAGAGTTAGAAACATTGATCAGCTGCCTCCTGCACACCCCCTACTGGGGATGTGCCCACAACCAAGGTACATGCCCTTGACTGGAATCCAACCCGGGACCCTTCAGTCTGCAGGCCGACACTCTATCCACTGAGCCAAACCGGTCAGGACATCTCTCCAGTATTTCTTAAAAGTAGGGGTGCACTGCCATGTTGTGGTTCTTCCTCCAGAATGTACATTTTCACATATTGAATGTTTAAAGCCATTACTTTTGGACATGGTTTTCTTTTTTTCTTAAGGTATTAATTATGTTTGGATATGGTTTTCTTTTTAATTTTACTGCACAGGAGACAGAGTCTGGCCATGGTATAATGGAAGAACCAGAACTTACGTTAGTAAGCACCAGTGACATCAGTATTGCTGAAATGGATTTTGCAAACTTATCCATAGAAGAAAACAATGAGGCAAAAAGTTTTCAGGTAAATGTGATATTATACACTTTATACAGCAACTCATAGCTGAGAATTGGGGAACAAAAAAGGATACTAGTTTATTTCACTTTCCTTTCCACAAGTCAATTCTTTTTTCCATTAGAATTATTTGCAAATTAATGTCCTTCCCTGTATTGCCGTTTTCTGCAAGTGCAGGAGGCTTACTGTGCCCAGAGCAGAAACTGACAGTTGACGGGAAATAGAAAAGCCTATCACCACCACCCCCTTGAAGAACAGTTTTATATCATGTAATAGTCCTAAATGTTTACTTTTACAAATTCGAGCCAAAACTGTTGACACATGCCAGGGAAGAGCTCAAATGCTCCTAAATACATGTATTTCTGATGCTATAGATTTCACTTAGGCTTGGGTTAGAATTGTTCCAAATCTGAGGCAGCAAGATAGGTAAGGAAATCTGGAACTGAGATGGATATAGAAAGTGCTGTTCTATTGCTTTAGACATTTATTCTGAAAATAAGACTATTTCAAGTACTATTAAATTCACATTCCCGCTTTTTTCCACTACAAGCAAACCATTTGTTTCTGGCCTGGGTCATAATGAATTCTAATTTAATAAGGACTCCAGGTTGATTATATGCAAGTGTTTTTTGTGAACTGATGCCAAATCAGACATCCCAAGATGACAAGTAATCAGAGGAAAAACTTTAGGGTAGGAT